CAGGTACTATGAGTTCATTATAAATTAGGAAAAAAAGAACAAATCTGGAGAATGAGTTACTTTCTTGCTCTCCCACCTCAGTTCTTGGGGGCGATGTAGAATGAGGCTTTGGATGGCTCATTTAAATTCTTATGTAGCCTTATCATCCAATAAGCAATTTGTATAATAATATAAAGGGCTGGTTTCATCTTGTTATGGATATTCATGCCCTGGTATTAGATCTCCCAGCTGTAGGCTTAGAAGGGATAAAGGAGGAGAAATGATGGGGCTTGTCTCATTCTATGAGGAGACAGACCTACGTAGTGGAGGCAATACTGGAGTAAAACCTTGACCTGATCACTTACAGCCCTAAACTTGTGTTCTGACCATATCAAGTTCTCCAACAGTGAAATAATTGGCTTGAAAAACAATAAAGATAAAACTTCGTTTTCATCTTTCTTTTCTCCTTCCTTTCCTCCTTCAATCCCTTCCTTTATTTTCTTTTCACTTTTTTCTCTGCTATTATTGTCCTCAACTCAACTGTAGGACAGAATATAAAAATGCTGGAGATTAAAATGTGCCCCTTTTATTGTTGTGTTTGCTTAAACAATTGGGGTGATAGATATCAGGTACTAGATTTTAAAATACACATATTTGAGCTTTAATGCACTGAAATAAGTATATTTTTAAAATTTGAAAAATTAAACAAATGAAATTGTGTGTTTAAGAATTTTATAGAATGATGCAGTTTCTGAGATCTTGAATGCAAGAAAACCTGCTAGTGTAGGGGAAGAAGAAATTTTCCTCTACCCTCTAGGTTCTTATGGCTGATCTAAGAATTAAATTGACGTGAGACATTAATAGAAGAGATTCAGATTTAACTGATTTTGTACATACAGGAACCCCACATACATGAGAGGGTCAGAGATCTCACATACATGAGATATTCAGAGACAGAAGGGTAAAGTAAGGAATATATGCCATCTTGAGCTAAAAAATGGGATAGGACCCTGAGGCTTCAGAAGGGCGGAGGGTAACTCACAGGATGATAAGAAGAGCAGATGTTCATCAATTAGGGGTATTCATGACCCACACAGATAGGTCATGAAAAGATATTTCTGGTAATAAACCTTATTATGGGCAAGACCTCCAATTTAAATTCTTTAAGGGAGAGGTAAATGTTTTTCAAGCTTGCAGGATCTTGATTGTTTTTAGCTCAAAATATTTCACATGCCAAAGTGGCACATCTTGGGAGGTCTGTCTGAACCCCTTCACTAGCCTCCAGAGTGAGTAAGGCTAACGTAAGGTCTTTTGGGAAGGTTTGAGAGTGCCTGGGATTCTTGACTTTAAGCATCAGAGACTGAATCTGGCCCAGTCAATTCTAGCCATAAATAAGGCTCAGTGGATTGAATAATTTTTTCTTATCTTCCTTTTTTAATATTTTTTTTTGAAGCAGTTTTAGGTTTACAACGAAACTGAGAGGGAGGTACAGAGATTTCCTGTATTCCCCCTGCCCCCACACATGCATATAGCTTCCCCGATTATCAATATCACTCACCAGAATGGTACATTTTTTACCAAGGATGAACCTATATTGACACATTATAATTACCCAAAGTCCATAGTTTACCTTAGGGTTCACTCTTAGTGCTGTACATAGTATGGATTTAGAAAAATATATAGGGACATATTTCCATTATTATAAGATCATATAGAGTTTTTTCCCCGCCCTAAAAGGATCAGAAATTTTAATCAACTGGAAATGAGGGGAAAGGGCCATGGCACTTCATCCTGCTAGCATGTGAGCTGGGGCATCATGGATGGTCTGGAATGGGCCTGAAAGAGTTTATTTTGCCTTTAGGATACTCCAAATACCTGAAACACAGTTTGACAAGATCTTCCCCTGCCTGCTGTCTGCTGCTCCTCTCTGCCTCATTTCTGTACTGCAGCCAGATTTGCCCACACTCTGCTCTTCCTGGTTTCCTGCCTCCCACATATGTTGGACCTCCATCTTTGATTTTTTTGCCCTCCTTCCTGCCTAGCAAACTCCTACTCATCCTGCAGGCATCTGCTTAAACATTGCCTTGCATGGGAGATTTCTCTGACCGCTCTGTACCAATTGCTCTGTGTAACTGTTGCACAGCTTATGCTTAATTGTCATTACTTGTCTAATTGTCACCCCCAATAGGCTCTGAGGTCTGAATTGGTCACCACAGTATCCCTTGGAACTGTTACTAAGCCTGGTACATGCTATGTACACATAAATGATTGAATTAATCAATTCATTCATAAATGTTTTGAATGCCTACTATGTACCAAGTATATGTATGTATATATCAGTGAGCAGAATCATAAAATCCCTTCCCTCAGAGAGCTAGAGTAAGACAGAAAAACATAATAAGTAAGTAAAATATGTAGTCCGTTAGAAGGTGAGTGTCATGGAGCAAAAAAAAAAAAAAAAAAAAAACAGAGCAGGATTAGGGAGATCAGGGCTGTGGGGGTGGGGGAATTGTGACGATGAGCCGATAAATGAAATGCTGAGCTGAGTATGAGACCCTGATGTCTGATGGGCTCAAGGGAGTAGGTTTCAGATGCTGTATGTTCACTGGAGGATAATATTTGTTAATCATTGATTAGGAGACTAGATCTAGGATTAAGGCCTGGGTGGGATGGGCTGGTGGAAGTTGGTGCTACTATGAATGACAATGTTGAGTTTCCTTCAATAGACAAATCTCAGGTCAAAACAAGGTAAGTAATACTTTCTTTTCAAAAAAACAGATCCCCAAAACTTAGTAGCTAACCACAATAGAAGTTTATTACTCCATTACAAAACATCTCATCACAATAAGGGGATGGGGGCTTTGCTCCATGGTCTTTCAGGGACAAAGTCTCCTTCCACTTTGTGTCTTGGGCATCCTTGTGTCTTAGAGCTCTCTGCTGGAGCCTCAACATCAGGCCAGCAGACAGAAGAAGAAAGGAAAATGCCTCTGCGAGGGAGATTTTCATGGGCCAGGCCTGGAAGTGGCACACGTCACTCCTGCCCACATTCTTTTGTCCAAAACTCAGTCTCAGTGCCGCCTACCTGCCAGGGAAACAGGCAAATGTAGACTGGTTGTGTGACCAGGCAGAAAAACAGAGTTCACGGATGCAGAGCAGGCAAATTCTCAGTCATCATGTCCAGTTCTCTTTTGTCTCCCTCTCTACTCCTTTCCTGTTTCCCTCTTCCTCTTACCCTTCTGTTCTTTTGAAGATGCTCCACAATGGTTTCTTGTCAGACAGTGACAACAGCCAGCACAGAGGGAGCAAGGACAGAGTGTTGAGATGCTCTAAGGAGGGCATTTCTTCCCTTTTTCCCCTCGCGCTGAAGGACCATCCTCTGGTTCTTGTTCCTCCTGCTGTTAAGAAGCCATCTTCGGTGACTGTCTCCTTGGAAAAGGACAGTCACTACCCTCTCAGAGCTTATATCTCAGCTGAGGAAGACAGACAGCAAACAATAGTCATTATAAATAATTATAGAGACTATGAGAAAGGAATAAATGCCATGGAACAGGACAAGATAAAGCAGGGAAAGGGGATCAGGAGTGGCAGCAGATATAATTTTCATATTAACATGAATTAAAATGCTTAATGTAACAGCAGTAGCTAACACTGGAGTTAGTATGTGCCAGGCACTATTCTAAGAACTTTACTATATTAATTCAATTCCAAGACAATAAAATCTTAGCTGGAAAACACATACAAAGCCCTTGGAGGGAGAACCAGTAACGAAGAGGAGAAATCAAAGCCCCATTGGTTCTCCCTTTGAAGGGTTTTGTGTACCTGTCCCTCCTTCTCTAGTACCATCGTCACTGTCCCCTTTCCAGGTGTGAGCTTGTGTGGGTCAGTGTGAGTGTGAGCACATGGAGGAAGAGCTGGGGTTCCTTCCAGCAAGGTCCTTGAATGTGTTGCCTTTTCAACAGTGTTTAAGTTAACATGTGGCACTTGCAATGGTTAAGACTACTACATTTGAAGTAACAGTGAGTCTGATAAATGCATTATTGTGACATCAGAGGTGGCACCTTGAGTCAGTACAGATGGTCAGTGATTTGTGGGCAAGACTGTGCCCCTCACCAGCTAGAGAGGACCACCTCCACATTGTCCACCCTGCACTACTAATGTGTCAGCCCACAGGTATTAAAAAGGATTCTTATATAAGCAAAGCCTGCCTTCATTTCCCTGCCCTGGGTTTAGACAGCTGGAGAGCATAAAATCAGGCTTGCCTTTGCTTACTTGTCAAGAGGAGGAGGAAAAAGGCCTTTTGTAACACCTCGAGAAATAGACTAAGCATTTATTTGCATACATTTCCATTAGATATGTTTCATTTGACTTATTTGAAAGTGGGGGGATGACTTCATCTGCTAGCAGCCCTGAGGGGTGGCACCTGAGAGAAGGGAGACTTCTGGGAGCTGATACAACTGCTCCATGTGGGAATATCAAGCTTGAACTCTTCACCCTGGCATGCAAGGGCCTTCCTCATCCCTCACAGGTAGTTCCACAAGGCTCACCACCAAGCACCTCACCTTAGACAATCGCCACCACTTGACTTTGTCATCATGTCTCCTTTGTGAAACGCCCTAACGTCTTTACCTCACCTGATAAATTCCTACTCGCCCTTCAAGACTTAGCTCAAATGTAACTTACAGGACACTGACTAGGTCATATTCATCCTTTATGTAACAGTATACATGGACTCAATGCCGAGGATCACCATCCACCAGCTGTGTCATCTGGGAAACTCAACCTCCTCTAGCCTTAATTTCCTCATCTGTAAAATAGGGAGAATGACAGTATGTATCTCATAAAGTTGTTATAAGATTAAATGCATTTGGATCTATAAAGTGCTTAGAACACCGCCTGGAATAGAACAAACTCCCAGAGAACCTGTGAGCCATCACCATGATTATCGTTGTTCTCAGAGTCAAGTACAATATCAGGTATCTCACGAATTGTAGAAGTGAATTTATCACTCTCTCTTTTTACAGCAGGAGCAAACAGACTTTAGACACGTCTGTTCCCACCACTGGTCACTGCTGGACACTGTTGCACCTCACAAATAAACCAATGAAAATGAGTGATACTACAAGAAGATAAATAGAGATATTTTTAATGATCATGGAAGGATCCATAAGAACCTGGCTAAAACATCTTTTATTCTGAGAATAAACATATTAAATGTTCATTGTACAAATGTGTAAAGAGAGAAATATATAAAGAAGGAAATTAAAATAATTCCTAGTATCTCCTTTTTATATGTATATGAAATTTGTGTATATATGAATATGAATATATATGATACATCTATAATAAATATAACATGTATAAAGCAAATGTAGGTATCACACTACATATATATACATAAATATAAATTTCTTAGGTAATATACTTAGAAACAATTTAGTTATGTAATTAGTCCTCTGTTATTGGCTATCAAGATTGAGTTCCACAATAGAGAATTTTTAAAAATAAAATTACAGTGTTGTTCCACCAAAAAAAAGAAATAAAAAATGTAATTACAGGAACAATAGTCCTGACACATTAAGTGGGAAAGAAAAAGAAAAAGTGACCTAACACAGGTGATGTCTGTAGCCACCTTGGAAAAGGCTGAAGAGTGAAAGGGGAGGAACAAAGCCTTTTGAAGCCAGACTTCCTGGAATCAAATCTCAGCCTTCCTGCTCACTAGCCCTAAGACCTTGGGCAAGTTATGCAAATTTCCTGTGACTCAGTTTCTTCATTTATAAACTGTGTTCCTACATTTTTTTTATTTTTTGAAGAGAAAAAACTTGGAACAATGACTGGCACAGAGTAAGCACTATATATATGTGTGTGTTTGTTTTTATGGTATCTTTTAGATTTCCAATGCAAAATATGAATCATGGTTGTTTCTCTGGATCTTAAATTATGGAATCTAAGAGTTTTTTAAAATTATCCAATTCTATATTACTTTTAAAGCAATAGATGATATGCTCTGTCAACCTGTAAATATAAGGATCAATCCACTCCACAACCTGACACCTAAGTCACTGACATTTCATGGCAGGAGCTGTCAGGGATCACTGAGGGTCAGAGAAACCAAATGCATGTTAAAACATGGGGTCCTCGGTAAGATATGTGTGCAATCTGCCTAAGGAGAAAGATTTCTCAAACTGAGGGTCACAGTGTGTTAGTGGGTTGTGAAATCAATCTCATGATTTGCAACCAGCATTTAAAAAAAATAAAATAGACTAGATTAGAATATGTCAGATTGCAGGCACTTAAGGTAGTATTGCTTCCTGAATTTTTGTTTCAGGTGTTTGTGTATGTGCATGTGTGAGTGTGTGCACGTGAGATAGAGAGAGACAAAGAGATTTTTCTACCTTAGTTTGCAGTCAGCATTTTAAAAGTCCTATCATTTGATTGCTGCTTCAGAAGTATTTCAAATGTCAACCCTCTCCCTTCCCACACTGTGTCCTTAAATGAAGCCCTTTTCATTCTTCTGAGACTATTGCAAGACTACCAACCTCTGATACTGGCCCCTTCTCCATAATCATTGTTTATGTGAAAAATCTAAAGCCAGGAGAACTACAGCAACAACAAGACAACTACAACAACAATACAGAAACTCTCTCCTTAAAAACCTCGAGTGGCTCCCCAGCCTGCAGAATAACAACCAGATTTCTCATACAGGCCTTCGGGGATCTTCACAAGATGGTCCTTGTGGGGTTTTCCTCTGCTGAACCCTGGACTCTGGCCACACTATACTGTTCCCTCAGCACCTTCCTGGAAGGCCTGGCCTTGATGAGCAAACTCTTGTATCTGGACCACTGACAAAAAGGAGTCCTAGGACAAGCCCAGAGAAGCATCCTGGATATTGTTCCAATAACTCTTTTCCCACAGCTCTGCAGACACACCTGCCAGACCAGTCCTGTTAGAGATCTGGGTCTGTGGTTCCCACTGAGCTCTTCAAGTCTGGGTCCTGCCTCACATTTTATAGTTAATTGAGGGCTGGGATTGTATCTGTTTCTCTGTGTATGGGTGTGTATGTTTTAGAGAGTGGAGGATGGAGGGGGTGGGGTGGAAGTGGGATTTAAATTCACGAAATCAGAAGCAAAACTCAGTTGAGGATACCAGCCACGAAGGTGACCTGATTTTGGCCAAGCAAACGTCATATGTGAGATCCATGTTACTCCATCCTTGAGGGTCTTCTATCAAGCTGCTGGGACCGAGGAGTGGTTTTAGTCACAAGCAACCCACGTGCTCTGTAGGTTATGGTTTATTAGATTGTTTGCCCAAATAAGGTCGTACTCCGCAGTTTTTAGACAATTCTATAAGCATCTTCTAACTCCGCAGTGAGGCATTTAAGAGATGTGTTACTTCCTTCATATACATAAATAATTTTCAATAAAAACCAGGGCGTGAATAATTTATTTTCTCCATTGATTGGAAGCCAACCATTTGGAAGAACACTCAGAAGAGATGAGTTAAGTCTCTTGCTAAAAAGTAATTTTAAATTTGTAAGGAAAAGAGGACGTTTTGTTCTTCTCCTTGAATTTTGCTGAAAATTGAGGGCTTTATCGAATAGTTTTGGCATGCAGGGTTATCTTTCCTGAAAAGGCAAAAAGGCATGAGAAATCTGAGTCTCCATGGGTCACTCGGCAGTGGAACCTGGGCGATTTTGCGCAGAGGATTTTTGTGGGACTCAACTTTTGGGGGTAAAACAAACACAAATGCTCCTCCCACAGGGGCGGGGGCGGTGCCTGGGCAGTGCACCAATCACAGCGCGTCCTGCCCTATATAAGGCCTGAGGCGCCCCAGGCTTTTTACGCCACTCGCTGGTTGTTACTTCTGGTGGTGGGTGTGTGGTTATGTCTGAGACTGCGCCAGCAGCCCCAGCCGAACCTGTTTTATCTTCTATGGAGAAGCCTCCAGCCAAGAAGCGAGGGAAGAAGCCGGTTGGCTTGACGGGTGGAAGTCGCAAAGTTCCTGGTTCGTCTGTGTCCAAGTTGATCACTGAGGCTCTCTCAGTGTCCCAGGAGCGAGCGGGCATGTCGCTGGCCGCTCTCAAGAAGGCGCTGGCAGCTGCCGGCTACGACGTGGAGAAGAACAACAGGCGCATCAAGTTGGGCCTCAAGAGCCTCGTGAGCAAGGGCACTCTGGTACAGACTAGGGGTACCGGCGCCTCCGGCTCTTTCAAGCTAAGCAAAAAGGCTACTCCTGAGCCCGCCAAGGGCAGAGTCAAAAAGGGTGCTTCTGCCAACGCTAAGAAGCTGGTCTTACCCAAGGGCTCGAAGTCTCCAAAGAGTGCCAAGACCAACAAGAGGACCAGCAAGGCGAGGACACCAGCAGCTCAGCCATCTGCCAGAGGCGGCAGGAAGTCTAAAGGTGCTAAGGGCAAGCAACAGCTGAAGAGCCCAGGGAAGGGAAGAACTGGGAAGCCCAAGACCGGCAAGCCCAAATTAACGCAGCAAAGGACAAATCCTAGGAAGACAGCATCCAAGAAGTAAGCGTTGTGAAAGACCAATCTCGGAGAACCCAAAGGCTCTTTTAAGAGCCACCTAAATGATCTTAAAATGGCGTGACGCTGGAGGCTTGTGGAAGTCTTAAATATCAAGTGTTAGATCATCTCACTGTCTGGACAAGCAGATGTCATTTTCGTAAAGTGGTGTCTCACCTGGACACGTGGTACACATACACATCTTCAAGGGTTCATATAGTTCAGAATATTATGGTACTGCCCAATCCGGAAAAGCTGGCTTGTTACACACTACGGTTAGAATATGGTACGTATCTTGCCGTGTAAATTTTAAGTACTCTTGTAGAACTACCCGTGTTTGTGGAGGTAAGTGGAGATAGATCAGCTCAGCGCCGAAACGTCTGTTTCTTTCTAAGGAAGCACTATGTTTTAGATTACAAAAGTATGTAGTGACATGCTAACCAGGATTTCTTAACTTCATGTTCACAGACTTTAGAGCCTATATAGAAATCAAGGTCTCTCAGAATTTGGATTTATGGGAAATGTTTTAGTCTTCATCTCTTAATTTTTAACTGAAATTTTCTTCCGTTGTATGATTGATAGGAACCAAGTATTTTCAGGTTGCAGTTGCGGGAATATTGAAGTAGTTTATCATCATTTCCTACGTACTATAGTTACTGCATGTGAATTTTTTTTTTCCAGTGAAGATTGTCCCTGAGCTAACGTCTATGCCAATCTTCCTTCCACTTTGCAAGTGGGACCCCACCACAGCATGGTGTGATGAACTGTGTGTATGTCCACGCCCAGGATCCCAATCCGCGAACCCTGGGCCTCCGAAGCCAAACGCTTGAACTTAACCACTACGCCAGGGGGCTGACCTATAAATGTTATTTGATGTTCAAAGTACATATGTTGTCACCAAAAACAAAGTATGATTATTTTAATACAATTGGCCTAATAAAATTGTAATTCTATTTATTTTATTAATGAACAGAGTGTATAAACTGGACAGACTTGTCTAGATTGCAGTCCACAGGCTGGAAAATGTTAAACCTAAAACCTTTATGGAAATGTTGGAGGTTGCACAGGTGTCAGGGTCTGAATCGAACCTTCTTAAATGACGAAAACTGCGTGTGTTAGGAAACTCCCCGAGTCTGAGTTAAAGTATCTTTCTTATTTTCAATAAAATTATTTTAGTTTTCATTTTTAAATTTGTGACTTAGCATTCTTATTTCAAGATCACTGTAAATATTAAAATCATACAGTTAACCTTATTTGGGGCCTTGGTATTTGGGGCGACTTTGAACAAAGCCCAGTGCAAAAACTGTAGCGTGTTCTTTCTCATACAACTACATTCTGTAGATAACTCACTAGGTAGGACCTAGCCTTTTTGAACTCATTTGTGTAGTACTCGGGCCCCCAAAACAAAAAAGTATAATGGAAAACGACTAAACATCATGCTTTCCATTTCTGTGGAATCAGCCTCAGCCGGTGCCTTGCTTACATAGGGTGGCCTTTGTTTCCCTTTGAGGTTGGAGTGGCGATAACGCAGGAATGGGCTTCACATGACCAAGGCAGTGAGGTCCCTGTCTGTCTGCTGTCCCCAGCAGTGGACTGACCCCCAAACAGTCATCAAGAGGAAGGCCTGGCTTCTCCCTCCCAGCAGCTGGCCGTTCTCCAAGCACTACTCGGATCGGTCTAAAACCGGTTTGGCGATCTACACGCAGCCTTTGCTCATCGCGCCTTTTAACGCCAGGCATACATCAGATTAAAACACAGTTAACCAAAGCTTTTCCTCCAGTTCCAGGAACAGCTATTGAACCCCTTGTTTTGGGGCAATAGCAAAATGGTTCTGAAATCCCATCCTCCATAATTTAACAGCGACTTTTGGCACCCCACCGATTCTCGTCCAATGAAAGGTTGTCCCCAAGGAGTCTTCATTTGCATAACCAAGTGCAGCGTGAACTGGTAGGCGTGGTCCTCTGTGCCAGGGATGCCGCCCGTCACCCGGTGAAGTCACCAGGACCTTCCTAAGCTTTCGAATGCCCAAAACCTACGCTTTTCTTTCACATTGTCAACTTTATTGGCATTGTTTACTCATGTTCACTGGCATCCCTCTGAATAGCTGCGTCTTGAGCCTTAGAATGCTTTCCCTACTACGCTAGTGTAACACCCTGTAGTTATACAACTGCACCGCGAAATAAAGCGCCAGCGCACTTACATAAACTGCCAACAGACCTTACCCACTAAAAGGCAACATTCACGGTTATGCGTAACAGCCCTTTACACGACTCTGTGGGCGGCCCTGAAAAGGGCCTTTTTGGTTTAACTTTTGCGTATGATGGAGACCGTACTTTTAGCCGCCGAAGCCGTAGAGGGTGCGCCCCTGGCGCTTGAGCGCGTAGACCACGTCCATGGCGGTAACCGTCTTGCGCTTGGCGTGCTCGGTGTAGGTGACCGCGTCCCGGATCACGTTCTCTAGGAAGACCTTGAGCACCCCGCGGGTCTCCTCGTAGATGAGGCCGGAGATGCGCTTGACACCTCCGCGCCGGGCCAGACGTCTAATGGCGGGTTTGGTGATGCCCTGGATGTTATCGCGCAGCACTTTTCGGTGACGCTTAGCGCCCCCCTTCCCCAGACCCTTTCCGCCCTTGCCACGACCAGACATGGCTGCTATTGCAGTGACTCCTCATTGTTGACGCAGTTCTTTAAATAGTATTCTAGCGGACCTGATTGAAAACAACACGCTCTGGTGACGTTTTTCCAAATTAGGTCAGCAGAGAGGTGGCGCTAGGAGAATATTTACTAGCACTTCAGTGTTTTGATTGGCCAGTGAAACCTCGCTCTTCGATGGACGGGCTGGAAGGGGAGGTACGGATTGCGTTCCTCTGAAAAGCTTTAGTTTCTCTTTTGTCTTGCACTATTTTTTGCGCGCGCATCTGTAAACGGAATGTATTCTTAGCTGCTCAAAGACACTGAGCAAAGAGCTTCACGCCACGTTTCTTTTTACTTCCGTTCAGCAGCTAATAAATTAGATAATGGCTCCTTGGAGAATGTAGAAATAATGTGTAAAGGAGGGTGGATTTATAGGTGAAGGGACTTTTCCTCTTAGTCCTTCCCATGTTCCTGTTTAAACGTACGCCTTTTGACGGCCTTCTCTGTGCTGAACAAAGTATAAGCCCGGCCCTGAAGAATTTCTGGCCCTAAAAGTCCTGTGTTTGGAAAGACAAAAAGGTACACAAACAATTGCGAATTAAAACTTCTTCCTTTTTCTCTCTGTTTCCACTCAAACATTCATTGAGTGATTTCTTTTTCTGAAAAAGTCCGTGAGAGAGTCAGAGAATATAAAGATAAGCTTGGGTAATCAGTTGTCCCGGGACCCTCTTCCTGGCCTGCTGCGCCTGTCTGGTCTGCCTGTAGTCCCCACCAAGCTCCCCTTCTCTCCTTTATTAATCCCTTTTCAACCTTCTCCAGTGTTAGAGACAGGAACTTCGTTTCGCAGAGTTGGGGATTATTTGTAGGGCAGGGCTAATGCTTGATTAAGGTCATTACAAAGTCTACAGGGCCCTCCCCTAGGAGGCTTTTCATGAGATTATGGGTGTTTTCAACAAGGCTAATGCCATTTAAAAAGAAAAAGAAAAAGAATTGGATCTGAATGTGATTTCAAGAGAGGGACTTCTCAAATCAAAAATTTTTCCTTAGCTTCCTGCTGCAGCTTTCGAAATTTCTACTTTAAGAGTCAGTGTAATTAAAAGAAAAAAAAGACAACTTTCCCATCTTTACTAATAAATAAATGCCTATTGTGGATACTTGGAATGATACTATGGCCTGAGAGGGACCGCATAGTATAACCTCTGACTTACCAAGTGAAAACAGAGAGCGACCCAGGGAGGGAGAGAAAAGACGCAGGAGGGGCCAGGAAAGCTCTGAATGCAGATGGTTTGTAACTCTTCTGAAGTAATTAAGTGGTTGCATTCTTCCACCCCCAGATGAGAGTTTTTAGTTTGCTAACTTTCGCTGCCCCCTCCCCTCCACAAACACACACCTTATAAGAGGAGACTTAGCTAGAAAGAAAAGTCAACCAATACAGAAGAAAACTGAAAGGTCTCAGGTCATAGGTAAAACTGAAATCTCAACATGCTTTTTAATTCATGGCAATAAAAATAGAGTGTATAAAATATGGTAATTTCATGCAAAAACACATAATGTGAGATACCCTTGATACACATTCCAGTATTTCTTCCTTTACACTAGAGTTCTAGGTCAGCGTTCCTCAACTTTATTTTGCCTACTGTATTGTTAATAAAACCTCATTTTTTATTTTGACATCTAATTTATTCCTTTTTTCTATTCATTTCTCCTCATTTCCTCTTTTCTAATTTTTCCATGACATTGACTCAAAAATCATGGATATCAGAACAGAAATATTTAAAAGGTATACACATGTAGATATATATGAAAAAAAAATAGATCCTTCCACTCTATTAGTTGGTCATGTGGCTTGGGGGATGGGTAGCTCGTTCTGGAAACTGCATGGCTTCCTATTATTCCTTTTCAGCTTCCTCTCACCCTCATGGTGCCCCTGGCTTCACAGAACCCCATTCTTTCAACATATGAGCTAGGCCCTTCAGATAAAAACCCTGCAAACAAGTTGTGGCTAACAGATCACAAGAAACATTCAAACAAATACAACTATGGTATTAATCAGAGATCTTCTAAAAACACGAAATGCCCAGAACCACCTCCGCAAACTCACTCAATCAGAATGACAGGGTTGAGGAATGGTGTATATATGCATAGACCATTCATATGTAGAAGAGCTGTCACATACAGACATATATGGCATTTAGCTGTCATATATAGATGGCTCCTCTAGCCACTGGCTGATTTATACATGTATATTCAACAAACAATTCTAACACTTGACTAGGGTTGAGAACTACCCGCATACATCATCACTATTGAGTATATAATTGTACTTTAGTGAAAAGGAATCCCAGGGTGTTAATGCTTTCGAGCTGTGTTACAGTTGAGGAAATGTGTGAGTTCAGTCTTACCCAACTTAGTCTGATGGGCTGTATAGCATGACAGGAGTTATCTTCAGGCATTCGGGGACATCACTCCTCGTCTGGGACAGACAGCTGCTCTAGCCACTGGCTGGTTTATCTCACTCCCATCTAAGACTTCAATCGATATCTCTTTTTCAGCCACCTAACATTTGCCCTGGTGTGAATATCCATTTTCTTATTCATTTCCCCTTAACCAAACTGTCATTCTCATTGTCATGTCTTTGGTTCCACAACATAAATTATGTCTGTCCCTATTTTCCTTACCTCCTCTCTTAACTCTTCTAGAAAAGCAGTCCTGCTTTTTCTCTTCAGTCCAAACTCTTATTTAAAGCTTTTGTCCCTTGCACTTCCTAGGCCTGCTGTCCTGGTGTGGGCTATCTCCCATCAATGTCCATAATACATGTTGACCTACTAAAGAAAAAGTCAATTGGACAGAGTATTTCTAACAGCAACCTTTCCTATATATGTGTGTGTTTCAAAATTTTTATAAACATTTTTGCAATTAAATGATTTTCAAAATTCCCTTGAATATTTTCTGAATTACACACACAAAACACAAAGAAAGTAGTTGCATTTGTTTTAATGGTAAAACTGTGAACCCAAACATACACAAAAGAACATCATTTTAGCTGTTACATCCGTATTTAAAACAGATGCTCTCTTGCACACATAGTCAAGCTGTTTTGGCGGTACTAAAGTTGCTTATAGACTGTCTTATGAAAATGCCATTGTGGTAACTTTGCTTAGGGAATAAATTTCGGGACATTTAGCCATACAGTAAGGTTCACTGACAAGACTTGTACAGAAGTTTAGACAACTATTAACTATTGGTACTTAACTCTCAAAGAATGCACTGAAAACTCCAAAATTCTCTTTTAGAACCTTTGGATAAAAAGCCAAAATTTGAATTTTAAAAATAGTAAGAACAATAGTTTCTGCCCAAATCTGGTGAATAAAATGATTCACAGGTACTTCAAGGCTATCCATCTCATAATTTTTCCCTCAATGATAAAGAGAATAAATAGAAACATGAATTTAATAGTTAGAAATTTGTGTATAAACAGAAAAAAATTCCTTAAATTAAAAAATACACCCAAAGAAAATGTTTCCAAATATTTATGAAAAAATTACAGGGATTTGGCAAATTCTGAAATGTCAAAACAGGTTCTCTCTTCACTGCAGAAGACATCAGAGGTGCTGCCTCTAGGCAGCAGAACGGGTCCTAAAAAGATGGTAACAATGCCACACCACACGTCTTCTTGACCCAGAAGTAGGTATTGTGCACTGGTTTTGAGCTTGACGCTGAGCCAGACTAGCTGCAATAAAAACTGAGCACAATTGTTTCCTAGCTGTGTAACCTTCAGCAAGTTAACCAACCTCTCTGTGTCTTGGTTTCAATACAGCAAAAGAAGGGTAGCAGAATAACAACAGTTCCTACCTCAGAGGACTCTTCAGAGGAGTTAAATTAATATTTAGAATAGGGCCTGGCTTCTAGTAAGTACTTAATAATTATTGGCTGAAAAAAATAGTTTCAGAAAATATTCATGCCAGGGGAGAACTACTGAGAATGTAAATTCATCCAGCTGAGAAATGAGAGATTTAGAAACACTGCTTCAAACCAACGTATGTATCTCTCACACATATCTCCCACAGAAAGATTTTAAAGAATTATTTAGAAACAGAATATGTGAGATACTAGAACACATACTATGCTGAGTAATAAATGCATGCAGGATGTCAAGGCAAGCTAGGCTTTTGAATAAAATTGTCACACAAAAGAATTTAAGATTGTATTAACATTCTACATGTTAATCACCGATTGAAAAAGGGAGAAGAAAAAATGATGACCCAAGGTCTACAGAAAGAAATCAGAATTAAAAGTACCTGTCTACACATGTGAAGGTCTTTAAAGTCACGAATTTTTGAATTCTAGTCATTATTAAATTAGAGAGTGGTTAGAAAAAAATGGTAGCTTATAAGAACGCTCTAGCGTTTTGGAGAAGGTGTTCTGTTCTTAAATGTGTGTGTACATGAAAAATGCATCAAGCACACACAGCGCTTTAAGACTATATTATTATAATATAACATAACAAGAATTTTTGTCTGTACCTCCCAGTGGGCCTTAACCATAGATGCATGTTGCCTCAAGATGCACACTTTTATTTGTTTTCCTTCTATTCTGTTCCCAGTTAAGGTGGCTCAATGAGCCCTGTGATTCCGTGATTCAAACAGCTGGTGAATAGTTTCTTCTTTGCTTCCTCAAATTTTCAGGGCTTTTCTCCAGCGCCCCATTCCTTGTCTATTCCTTTCCCCTCAGGAAAATCCCTAGCCCCAGCTCTCTATAGTCACGCGACCACTGTGACACTTTTGACTGTGGCCACCAGATGTCGCCCTTCTCCCAACTACTATGCTTCATAGGTGGTTTGGCCAGAGGGGAAGTAAAATACAGAATTTAAAATGTAGGTCTTTGATTTTTCAAATGTAGTTGACCTTAAGAATTGATAAACAAAGCCAGAAAAAAAATAAGCTAAGGAACACTGAAAGAAAATAGAAATTTATAACTTCGCTTATAAAAAAAAATTAACAGGACACAGTTTTTGATGGTTAGTAAATATGTAACTGTGAACACTAGATAGGGTCTTTCTGGAAATCTCAGCTTGTTGAAATGAAAGCGATATAAAACAAACCGTTGCCTAATTAATTGTAACATATCCTTACGGAGGTAGAAGAGAAAGAGAAGCTTTTGGCAGATCTGCTTTGAGTATAGGATGGTAACTAAAGAGAAAGAATTTATCAGCGTGCTTCTAGCATGGTTTGAAGGTAAAATGACAACTCTGTTAAAACTTAGATAATAATGTCCCTAGAATGAAGAAAAACAATTAATTCAGCTACCATTGTTTAATGAAAATATTCCATAAAATAAAACATAAAAAAATTAGAAGCAAAATGACATAATGATTAAGTCGATTAAGTATATACATAAGATGGACAAGTACCTCAGAAAAATCATGCAGTACACAACACAATTGTCCATTTATTAAAATACATGTATTTGTTAATTTTCTATATTTTAATAAAGAAATAATACTAAGAGGAAATACACAAATTGTTAATAGAGTCTATCACTGGTTAATGGAATAAGTTTCAATTGAATTCATTTTCAACTCTTCTGCGGTAAGCACAAATTATAGGTATTTTCATCCACTTAACTTTTGTAACCAGAAAAAAAGAAAAGTTTACAAACATAGTTGAGATCACTTTGCCCAAATTCAAGACCTACTAGACAAACTTTTGTGCAGTATTTGGTTTCTTGAGGTGTCTGCCCTCTGAGACAGCATGTCTAGTACCACAGTTATGCAACCAAATGTATGGAGCAGCATAAAGCCGGCACATGCCCTGCAAGTGCGTAAGTTAGTTTTCTTTTGAACATGATCAGATGAATTACTTTCCAAGGATCTATTAATTCCTGAGTGACCTGGTTAGATTAATTTTTTTTTAATGTGCACAGTTGGGGATGAGAGCCAGACTCCCAGGGAACCCAGGAACATGCCTGGGGTACCCTCCAGGCCACTTGATGGCTTCCGTTTTTCCACCTTTAATATGGGAAAGGTTGCTCCAGTTCATGGAGGGAAATGCCACCAGAGGCCCTGGTGGAGGGAGAACACTGTCAGGTCCAACACAGCCACTAACTGACACCAACAATCACAGTCCTGGCCTGGGGCCTAAGAGAGGTGCCAGGGAGAGCAGGCTGGCGGTGGCAACAGAGGACAAGAGGAGTCACATTCTGGGCTGCTTCCCACAGGGACTTTGAAAGGAAACATGGTTGAGATTGTTTTCTGCTGTTTTCCCTTCATTTGGGTCAAACCCACTGAGAATAAAAACAAGGATCCAGGAGAAGAGCTCTCTCTCTGGCCATCTCCTCCCTCCTGCCTTACTCCAGGCATCTAAGCCTGCTGAACATGGCGGCGTGCAAGGTGGATCAGAGTCAGACTGACCGAGTTCGAAACCTATCTCTATCCCCAGCAAACTGTCACTTTCTTCATCTAAAAAAGCAGTGAGGAGAATAGTACAGAAAGTCCTTGACTTATGATGCTTCAAATTATGATTTTTTGATTTTACAATGGTGCAAAAGCAATACACATTCAGTAGAAACCATACTTCATCTTTTCGTGGGCTAGCGCCATGTGGTACGGTCCTCTCTCGGGATGCTGGGCAGTGGCACCTGAGCTGCAGCTCCCAGTCAGCCACGCCAGCATGATGGTGAACGACCGATACACTCACAACCATTCTGTGCCCAGACAACCATTCTGTTTGTCACTTTCATTACACTATTCAATAAATTACACGAGATATTCAGCACTATATTATAAAATAGGCTTTGTGTTAGATGAGTTTGCCCAACTGTAAGCTAACGTAAGTGTTCTGAGCACATTTACCGTAGGCTAGGCTAAGCTCTGATGTTCAATACATTGGTATATTAAATGCGTTTTTGGCTGACTATATTTTCAGTGGAATGATGGCTTTACTGGGATGCAACCTCATTGTAAGTCGAAGAAGATCTGTACTTATATCAAAGAATTATTATCAGAACTGCATGAGATGATGCATGTAAGTAGGTGCTCAGAACTAAGTCTGGCACCAAGTAAGTCCTTTTTTTTTTTAATAAGTGTCAGCCACCTTATCATTATCATCATCATCCTTATTATCATTTTAATTATCAGAACAAGGAGACAGGGTCAGCAGAGACCAAGTAGAAAATTACTGTGCTACTTCCAGTCTGGCATACCAGACAGATATTATAAATGCAAGCATAATCTAAAGAAACTTATCTGACACCTTTGTGCAAATTAGAAAAAGACACCTCTCCTTAAGACACTTCCCACTCACTTTCTGGAAAACTATCATAATACACACAAACGTCCTTGATGCCTCTTCTGGGAAATGTGCCTCCTCGGGTTGTGCAGTGCACAGCCTTCACAGTTGTACAATGCCCAGATCACCCTCTGATGGAAGAGACCACACGGTTTGGTGACAGATGAGTTACTGGATAACAGAGGGAGCGAGGATTAAAAGGAAACTTGAGTGGGTCTAGGAAATGCCTGGATGGGTGTGCAAACTTCAGGTCAGGGTGTGAGAGTGTATGTACCAAGGAGAAGGTCCATAGCTTTTCTCAGATGTTAAAAGTCCCCTAAATTTAAGGAGCCCTATTCCAGAGGTAGGAGAGGAGCTGATGTAGCTGTATGGAGTCTGAGATGATGCAGGAAATGAAGGCAGGCTCTAGATGCAGCTCGAGATCCATGAGAGCCAGTTCTTGGGGGAAGGTCACAGCTGGGGCTCCTTAGCATGCAGGAACTCAAAAACTTAAATGGGGGAAACTTTTTGAGAATGAATAGGGAAAGCAAAGAGCAGCAAGTTCCTGGGACACTTCCCAATTGTTAGGTCCAACTCTGTCCTGAAACATGAAGAACACCACAAGCGCACCCTCTCTGAGTCTCGAATTATGTGTCCTCCCCACGAGCGGTCTGCTGGCTGCACTTCACTCACATTCAGCTAAGACGTAGTCCCCCGTGGCTCCTCCTGCAAAGAAAAGAGGTCTAGGCAAAAGGCATCACAGGCAGAGTCATCATCTTGACTCTTCCCTGTCCCTCCCCTCCCTCATCCACTCACCTCAATTCTGATCACTCCCTTCCCAAGGAACTACTAGATTTCAGGCAGCATTATCTCTCACCTGAAATTCCTTAAGCACTTTCTAACTGATCTCCTTGCCTTCACTCTCACCTCCTAACAACTCATTCTTCATACCACGGAGGTCGTGTCCCTCCTTGCTTATTTAAGTCCCTGCATGACTCTCCAAAGCACATATCATAACATCCCAAAGGCTTCCAGAGCTCTGCTTGAGCTACCTTCTTTCTGCCCCTCTTTCCCCCACACCATAGATGTTCAGCGGATAGAAATGCAGAATTGGTGACTGTCAAGTATACAAAGTAAAGGACAAGGCACAATAATAATTTATCATCTCCTAGCATGCCTCACACTCTCTACTTGCATGCTTGCTCCATCTGTACGGACCTCCTCTGACCCTCAACCCCACCTAAAGAAATCGTACTTCTTCAAGATCCAGAAGCTTTTCTTGATCCTCAGCTGAATGTGGTCATTCCTTCCTTTGACACTCCAAAGAATTTGCTTTGTATCTGCTTAGGACCTTAGGGGGTCTTCTTTAACTGTATTTACTTGTGTTATGGGTTTCATTCCTTACTAGATTTGGGTTCTGAGAACAGCAACAGTGATTAAGTCAACCTCAAAGCCCCTGCACTACCTTAAATAGCATCCTACAAAGTAACAGGTGCTCTACAAATAATAAGTGCTCAAAGGACATTTGTTGCATTAGAAGCTTTCATTCTGAGGAGAGTCATTAATTCTTGTTCTCAGGGAGGTGCTAGTGTTCCCAAAGAAAAAGAGAGAGGAAAAGCCTTCTCATGGATGCCAAATCCCCTATTCCCTCCTTCTCCCTCACTTCCTGCAGGAGAATTAGCATGTCCTGGGGCGGAGGAATGAAGAGACTTCTTCTTCCCACTTACTTGAAGCTTGCCTTCTCCTTAAGATTCTGAACAAAATTCCAGTAAAGAAGATGATGACACAAACAGCAATCACACTGATGACTCCAATGGCCAGTGTGTTAGACAGTGAGGGCTCTAAAAAACAAAAGCAAATTAAGGCCCGTGACCACCACCCCAGCCCAGAGCAGACCCTCCCCTCACTGCCATGTTGAACCACTCCTGTTCCACCCACAACAGATTTTCTCAGCACTGGCTCTCATCCATACCCCAGGTTGCAGTGAGGGGCTGATCCAGGCCTGGGTGCTCCACCTGGCAGGTGTATCTCTGTTCTTCCCCAGGGGTCACAGCCAAAGCCACCCAGGTCTGGTAGGTCCCGTCCCCATTGGGCAGCACGTCCTCAGACTCGGCATCCTTGGCATCCACTGGCTGCCTGTCCTTCAACCACCTCACGGTGATGTTCTGGGGGTAGAAGTTCAGAGCCTGACACCGTAGAAAGGTCACTGCAGAGGCCACATGATGAGTCACCTTCACCAAAGGAGGCACTGGACAGGAAGGAGGAAGGATCTGGAGAGAGGATCTTTCTACCCTTGCCAGCAAGACCAGAACTTTCACTTCCCTTCCTCTATGGGTTGGAGGAAGAAGACACCCTGTTCAGACAAAGCAAGCTGCAGGAAAGACACCATTTTGTGTCCTAAAATAAGTTTCAAGATGCTCTAATGAGCTGTCACATGGAGAACAGTCAGTCATATCAGCCTGTTCTCTTGTCTCATATGTAAATATGCATACCTGTTGCCCATGTCTTCTGTTCTTTGTTAATATATTAAATTCAGTCAGATGAAATTGCCCTTTACATAGATCAAAAATGGTTGAATAGGTACTATCAGCAATTTTACCTGGTTCAACCCAATAAGTATTCTGGTAAGATAGCCAGGCTTCAGTTACTATTGCTATGCTCTGTGAAAGTAACCTTTAACTGCCAAAGGATTCTGCTACTCTGATCAGTTGCCTTCATTGGTAATTTCTTGCCTTGGTATTCATGTGATAATTGACCTCTCTGAATTCCTAAAATGTATAAGTATCACATGTTCTCAGTTAAGCCAAGAGAAGAGCACAGACACTTCTTCTTTGGCTACATACATGGAAAAATAAATTAAAACCATGACTCCTGGCTGTGTCGTACATCTCAATGACACAGTGAAGACCTCATAGCTGGAGACCTCAGGGTGGAAACTTCAGACCTCACTTCCTTCCCAGAGAGTCACACAACTTTGGCTACTTCTGAAATCCCAGCCAGGGATCCCATGCCCCTCATTCCCCTCCACTCCATCACTAGAGGATAAGGGCAGAAGGGTGCTCCCACCGTACCTTGCCGGTCCAGCACCCCTCTCCCCAGCTCCAGCAACCACTGCAGCTGCTCAGGGCAGTCCCTCTCGAGATAAGCTTTGTTCTTCTTGGCCCGAATTTTATTCACTTCCCACTCCAGTTTGGTAGTCACGGCCTTGGACTCTGCTGCTCTCCAATCCAGTGTCTCAAGGCAGAATTCAAGATGGTCCTGCCCATCATATCCATACTTCCAGAACCCCCTGGTGCTGTTGTCCTCTTGCACCTCACAGCCCAGGATCACCTGCAGGGTGTGGGACTCTGGCAACATCCCCAGCTTCATTACTGAAACCAAAGGAGTAGGTCCCTGTCTCCATCATCCCAGGGAGTGAAGGACCTCAGACTCCTTCCCTCCTCTCTGCCCCCCAGGATCTCCAACTCCCAGCTCTCTCCCTCAAGATGCATCCTTGAGGTAGGGAAATGCTCCGCCCACCTCGGGAAGGGGAGGGCCCCTCTCCACGTACCCTTGCTGTGGTTGTGGTTGTCCATGATGGTCCAGAAGTCAACGATGAACATGTGATCCCACCCTTTCAGGCTCTGACTCAGCTGCAGCCACAGCTGGCTGGTTGCCCCACCCAAAACCCACTGGGCGCGGGACTCTGCACGGCGACTCTCGTGATTGTAGGCCACAAACAGCTGGTCGTCCACGTAGCCCAAGGCCTCAAACAGGGGGAGCCCAAGGTCCGGCTCTGAGGCACCCATGAAGAGGTAGCGCAGAGAGTGTGACCCTGGGGAGAGGGCAACAGTCCTTCTCAGTGGGCCACAGTGGGGGAGGACAAGGTGCCACACACCTTTGAATCAACTCAGACCACCAGCTGCGTCTGGGCCCACCTTGTGAAGAGTGGGACGCAGTGCCTGCCTTCCTTCCCTATGACCATCCTGTCGGCTCTCTCCTTGTGCCCCTCCCTTTGCCATGTGTGGCTGACACCCCTTCACTCCTCCCAGCCTCATGATTAGGGCAGTCTCCCTGTCTCCCCTGGAGCCAACAGACTTGAGAAAACCCCAAGTTGTCTTTAGCTATGGCCCTTGGGCTCAGGAGTTGGTGCTCAGAACTAATTCGATCCAAGTCCAGAGGAATTTGCTGTTGGGTTTTTTCACTACTGCCATCTGTAAACCCTTTCCTGGGTAAATGTTTGCTGTTAAATGATGGAAGATCTGCTGATAAATAGCTCAGGACGGCTATTAAAAGCGTCAAACAGTTTCAAAGCAAATACAGAAGGAGCCCAAGTAAGCCAAAAAGGACATGACTTCTAGGCAAGTGAGAGTTTCCCTACCCCTTCCCTCAATTACAGAAGAAGGGAGTTCAGTCATGTATCCCCAGCGCCTAGAACAGGGTCTGGCATAGCAAGTGCCTAATACATCCTTGCTGGATGAATAAATGATGACAACCCCTAGGTTTTTATCCCTGGCCCTGAACTCTAGACTGTTACACCCAACTGCCTACGTGACACTACCAGTTGATGACTGATTGGAATCTCAGACTTAGCAAGGCCAGAACTAGGCTCTTCATTTCTCCTTCTGCCTTCACCATCTCAGAAATGGCATCACCTATCCCTGCGTTGCTCAGCTCAATAAAATAAAACCAAAATAAAGTAATTAAATAGGGGAGTCACTTTTGACTCTTCCCTTCTTCTCACACAACACATAGATCCTTCAGCCACTTCCTTCCAAATATATCCAGAATACAACCATTTCTCACCACCACCTCTGCTCCCATCAGGCCAAATCCAGCATCTCTTGCCTGGGTTAGTGCAACATCTTCCCGGTTCCTCTCCCTGCTTTAATTGTTGCTCCTGTCATTCTGATTTCCACAGAGGAGCCAGAGCAATCTTTAAAAGCTATGACAGATCATGTCACTTGGCTAAAATCCACATTGCAGCTTGGAGGCCCTAGGAGATCTTGCCTGTCGCTCCTTTAACTGAGCCCATCGCCTATTCTTGAGCTCTGGTCCCTGCATTCATGCTGCACCGCATCCTTGCTCTTCCTCCAACCCAGTGGTTGAAGGGAAATTTCATCTCTCAGGGGACATTTGGCAATACCTGGAGACATTTTTGGTTGTCATATCGGGGGAGTGTTACTAGCACCCAGAAAGTAAAAGACAAAGATGCTGCTAAACATGTTGCAATGCACATGATAGTCCCCACAAGCATAAAAAACGTCATTAGTGGTGAGGCTGCAAACCCTGCTTCAACCCAACTTGCCAGCCACACCTAGTTTGCCAGAAAGTGCTGCTGCCAGACAGCATTACTCTTACTTCCTTCTCCATTCCACCACCAGCCTGAGAGAGGGGCTGCCCTGACTTCCTGCTCCACGTGTCTTCACAGCACTCATTGTTCCCTGATGTCCTACATCCTTTTGTTCCTTTGTTTACTGTCATCCCTTCACTTGAATGCAAAATATCAGAGGGCAAGGACTTGGCTCCCCACTGTCTCCTCTGGGAGAGAACGTGAGACACATGGCTGGTACACCTTGTACACTTGTGAACAATGAATATTTCTGTTCAACATCAAATTTTATGATTCAACCTCTGATGCACTGTGATGTTTAAGAATTGCACCTGTGAAGTGGAGTCATGGGGTTTGCCTCAAAAGCCCAGGTTAATATTGAATAAGGTTACCGGTGAGCAGGTCACGCCTCATTCTTGTCATCTATGAGATGTGGACACACACACTAGCTACCCTCAAAGTGTTGTCCTGAGGCTATGTGATCACGTACAGAGTGCTGAGCCAGACAACAGTGAGGGCAAACTCAGCTAAGATTAGAAACAGCGGGAGTACCTCATTTAACTTCAGAAAACCAGACTGCCTGAATTCTTTGTAACCTCAGCGAGCCAGTTAACCACCCGTAAAATCAACATATTAATAGCTCCTACCTCTCAAATGCGTAGTAGAGTCAACAAGATCACAGACATGAAGGTGATTTAAAACTGAGGTCATTACTTCACTGTGAAGTATCATCACTTTGGCATCCTCTAGTAAAGGCCCGTCCACTAGTTATACAGGACTATTAACATTGCCAATCAACAACCCCTGGCTGAAAACGGGAACTCTTACATTCAGTTCAAAAGATCAAAAATAACAGCCATGTTGTTTTTCCAGGTAAAAGAACCATCGCCAAGAGTCCGTAAGGCCCGGGGCAGAGACCTCTCAGAACCCTCCCACCCCCAGAGGTCTCTACCCCAGGCCTCACCCAAAGAGGTGGGGGTGGGCTAGAATTCAGATCCCCCACCCAACTCCTACACACCCCGAATCCGCAGCGCGAGGAGTTCTGGGGTGGAAACCCGGCTCGCTCCTGCCGCGGGTTCACTCAGCCAAACGCCTCCCACCCCTTCGGGGCGCCCTGGTGTGGAAGCACCAAGGGGGCGCTCCGGCCAAGGTCGCCCTTGGTGAGAAGAACTTCCTGTTTGCGGATGACCAGGGGTAAAACGACACAACGACAGTAGAAACCAGAAAACCAAGATCCGAGTCCAAGGTCCCCAAGCCTAGCTCGGCCTCAGTGAGAAACTGAAAGATTTACGTTTAAAAGCGTCACGATCAGGAGAAGGGAAATAGGTGGTTCCGAGTGCCCCTCCGAAGAGCAGGGACACGGGGGGGTGGGCGCGAGAGGGAGCTGAGTCCTGGGGGGAGAGGCCTCCTAACCCCTGTGCACCCAGTGCCCGGCGATAGCCCCCAATCCCAGACCCGGAAAAGTTGGGGGAGGGGACTGTGCACCGGGCTGAGAACTTCCTCCCAACTTAGCGAGCTCTCAAGTGCTAAGAAAAGCTGGTTTCGATTTTCCCTCCCCCCTCCCCGCGCCCCTGGCTCGCCCGCAGCCCCCGGACTCACGCGGCGGTCGCCCCTGCGTGGCCACGGTCCGCAAGAGGATCAGGAAGAGGAGCGCGGGCCGGGCTCGCGGGCCCATTGCCCCGGCTCGGACCGCGCGCCCCGGCGCGTGTCAGCTGTTTCGGGAGAGCGGGGAACCTGGAGTGACCCAAGAAGTCACCCTGGAGTCATTGCCAAGGCTCGGGGAAACCTCAGAAAAAAACTTCCTGGCCAGTGGGATCCTTTTCCGGGCCATTGGTGAAAAGAAACGGGTCTCCTGAACTTGAACTCTCTCCCCTGCAGCCCAGAGTACCTGCTTGTGAAACACTCAGCGGCGCAGCAGTCCCTCAGAGATTTAAATCCATCGAGGATGTTGCTGATGAGGGAAAGCATATGTAACGATTTTCCGATCTAAATATTCAATACCTAAATATTGAATAATCTAAAAATTCAATTACACATTTTCAAAACTTTTAAGTTCAACCTGCCAATCTTGTTATTCGACTTAGACATGTAATGATTTTTGCGTAAAAATTTCAATTTAGTTTTTGATTACAATTAGTTAAATCATGAGATTAACTAAGTCGATCCTACTGAAATATCTTTCTCAATTTACATCATTAAATTAAATTTCACAAACTTCATAGCACCTTGGAATCAATAATAATGGAGAACTATTAAAGCCATTGATGTCCTGCTCTTGTCCTCAGATACTCTGATTAATTGGTGTAGGGTGCTAACTGGGCATGGGGATTTTAAAAGCCATCCTCCAGCCTCTCCCCCTCACCCCCAACACACATATAACAAAGTTTGGGAGTTACTGACTCAGACATTTCGAACAATATTAACAAATTTAATACATCTGATTTTCCTAAAACCTTTAGCGACCTAGCCTTTTTAAGCACATAGGCAAATTTTGACCGTCTAAGAAAAGAAATCAAACTTGGAAATCAGGGCCTCTTAACTGGAGGGGGATATGAAACAAGATTAGGAAAATGTTGAATATTGGTGATGAGTACATGGGGATTGATTGTATTATTTCTTTCTTTCTTTGTAACAGCTTTATTATTAAGATATAATACGCATACCACACATTTCATCCATTTAAAGTGTAAAAGTCAGTGAGTTTTAGTATATTCACAAAGGTGTGCAACCATTCCCATAATCAATTTTAGAACATTTTTCATCCTCTCCACAAAGAAACCTTGTACCTTTTAGTCATCATTTCTAAATCTCTCCATCCTCCTTACCTCCAGCCCTAGCCAATCTTCCTATCGCCTCCTATCTCCATAGGTGTGCGTATTCCGAACATTTCATATACATGGCATCATGTAATATGTGGTCTTTGGTGACTGGCTTCTTTCATTTAGCATAATGTTTTTGCATATCTTTTCCATGAACATATAACATTCCATCATAAGGATATACCACATTTTATTTATCCATTCATCAATTGATGGACATTTGGATTGTTTTTATTTTTTGGTTATTAGAAATAATGCTGCTACTAACATTTGTGTACGAGTTTTTGTGGAGACGTATGTTTCCATTTCTCTTGGGTTTATACCTAGGACTGGAACTACTGGGTCACATGGTAACCACATTTAACCATTTGAGGAATTGTCATACTGTTTTTCCAAACTGGTTGCACCATTTTACCCTCCCATCAGCAGTGTATGAGAATTCCAATTTCTCTTCATTTTTGCCAACGCTTTTGTCCATCTTTATAATTCTGGCCATTCTAGTGAGTGAGAAGTGGTATCTCATTGTGGTTTGGATTTGCATTTCCCTGATGACTAAGGATGCTGAACATCTTTTTACATGCCTATTGGTCATCTGTAATTCTTCTTTGTAGAAATGCCCATTCAGATCTTTTGCCCATTTTAAAGTTTGGGTTATTTGCTTTGTATTATGGAGTTGTAAGTGTCCTTAATATATCCTAGATATAAGTACCATACCAGATATGTGATTTAGAGACATTCTCTCCACTTCATTGTGCTATCTCTTTACTTTCTAGATGGTGTGCTTTGAAGCACAGACATTACCAATTTTGATGAAGTCCAATTTATCTATTTTTTCTTTAGTTGCTTGTGCTTTTGACGTCATATCTAAGGGACTGTTGCCAAATCCAAGGTCACAAAGATTTATACCTATGTTTTCTTCCATGAGAAATGTTTTCTTTATAATTCTACTTCTTACATTTATGTCTTTGATCCATTTTGAATTAATTTTTGGATATGGTATGAGGTATAGGTCCAATTTTCTTCTTTTTCATGTGTATAAAGTTAATAACTCAGTTTTTCCTCCCTATGTATAAGAAAAACCCAGTTTTTCCCTACTTTGCTTTTTATCTTGTGAGTCTCCTTTATTACTTACACAAAACCCTTTACTTCTGACACTTTCGGTCACCAAATCTGTGGAGGTTTTCCCCCACAACAAGAAGCAAGTCTCCAACACCAGCAGAGTGTCTTACAATTTAACTCAAATTTGACACTATCTAACTGAGGATACTGTCAGATCCCACAGGTAAGTGTTCAGTTCCACAAGACTGCCCCAACAACCCCCACTTCAGCTGCCAGTCTCATGCCCAGGTTGTCACCTGTGCTTCTGATGAAACAGCTATAGATTGGAGGTTTCGTGACCCCACCTCTGGTTCAATTAATTTGCTAGAGTGGCTCATAGAACTCAGAAAACACTTACTACGTTTACCAGTTTATTAAAGGATATGATAAAGGACACAGATAAACAGCTAAATGAAGAGATACACAGAGTGAGGTCTGGGAGGGTCCCAAGCAAGTGTAGGAGCTTCTGTCCCCATGGAGTTGGGGCACATCACTCTCCTGGTGTGGATATGTTTGCCAACCTGGAAGCTCCCCGAAACCCATGCTATTGGAGTTTTATGGAGGCTTCCTTATGTAGGTATCATCAATTATTAACTCCATTTCCAGTCCGTCTCCCCTCTCTGGAGAGATGGGAGGGGAGGTGCTGAAAATTCCAAGCTTCTAATCATAGCTTGGTGATTCTGGTGACCAGCCCCCATCCAGAAGCCGTCCAAAAGCCCACCCAGAGTCACCTCATTAGAACATAAGACACTCCTATGACCAGGAAATTACAAGAGTTTCAGGAACCCTGTGTTAGAAACCTGGGGCAGAGAACAATATATATTTTCTCAGTTGTCCCAGCACCATTTGTTGAAAAGACTATTCTTTCTTTACTGAGTGGTTTTGTAACCTTTGTCAAAAATCAATTGACTGTAAACATGAAGATTTATTTCTGGACTCTCAGTCCTAATCCATTGATCTATATTCCTGAAAGCGTTATATCAAAATGAATGATTCTTGCTCAATGAAGGATACCATGGATAAAGTTAATACGGTATACAGCTGACAGAGTGGCAGAAAATTATATGCAATGTCTGAAACAGACAAAGTGAATTAGTAACTAGAAAATACAAGGAACTCCTGTAAATCAGGAACAAGACAGAAGCTCCAAATTAAAAATGGGTGACAAAAAAGGACAAGAAATTTGTATACAGGAAAACCCAAAGCGCTTGGTAATAAGGGTAATGCAAAGTGATATATCATTTTGCATCTCTTAGAGCGTTAACGCATTAGAAAGCTGAATACTGCCCAGTGTTTGTGTGGGTATGGGGACACAGGAATCCTCATGCACTGCTGACAGGAGTGCAGACTGGGGCTTCAGCTCCAAAGCTGGACACATTTTCTAAAGAATTCCTCAAACATATCCCATAAAGGGGCATGTTTGTGGGTGACCAGAACGTGCAAGCAGATGAGATATTCTTCACTGAGAGAGTAGAGATGTAAAATGGAACAACTGCATGATATGGTATTGGAGGAATCCACAAGGCATTGTTTTAGTAAATTAAAAATGCATGCATACAAAACAAGGATATTTTCCTTCTGAAGGACACTTTCAACCAAAAATACCCATTTAATTCATTTTAAAGGCAGTCTACAAGAGTGGAACAGGAGTGGGATATGGGGACAGAAAGCAATACATAAATAGATTAAATACACACACACACACACACACACACACACATTCACTCTCCTTTCTGCATGTTGTTTATGGCAGAAATAGGTGGACCTGGAGGATTAAGTGTCCTCTACACCACACCTGCTGGACACAGCAAATGGTCAGGGATGAGTTCTCAGGCCACGAAGGGAGACTGGAGATAATAGGTGCTGTATGGTCTGGGGCGTCAGCAGCTGACGATGCAGAACAGATTGAGAGTAAGCCCCACCACTCTTCTTGCCGTCTTTCTCACCTAATTAGAACAGCTTTTTTCAAGGAACTCCAATTTTAGCCATGGCCAGACTGCCTGCCAAAATGAGCACCCAAGCAGTGGCATTCATGAAGTCAGAGGAAGACTCTGAAATGATATGCAGTGCTGCGGTTCAACAGGCCTGATGTCTGACTTCTTTCCCCACCTCACCAGAGTGTGATTCTGGGTCCTGTGTCCCAACCTTCTGCTCAATTGAATATGCCAGACGCACCCAGAGCTACCAGCCCTGATAGCCTGGATCCCTATTCCACAGGCTGATGATGGTTCCATTCAGGCCTCCATGCTCAGTGTGGCAGGAGTATTGCCTTCTTCTCCCTGAGGAACAGGCACATTCGCCCAGCACTGACAGGCTCCATTCCCTCTAGGCCAGCACCCTCTGTGGTCTGAGTCCAGGCTTTCCAGACCCCTTAGCAAGCTCAGTGTAGTAGCACATGGGAAGAAACACAGGGCTTGGCACAGCAGCAAGTCCCATGGCTGGTCACATGTATTGAAGGAAGTTCTAAGGAGCAGGAGTGAGATGAGGAAGGGGCCCTGGGCTCTTCTCTTCCCAGGCCTTCCTCCCTCCTGAGATGTTAGCTCACTCTTTGAGAACCGGAAGCCACTTCCAAGCCTGGCCTTAGCCCCTCAGCTGGTGCTTCAGCCTCAGCCTTTTATGTCTCTGGATACCTTCATGGATGGACAGGTGTTATGGGTTGTAGTGCGTCCCTCCCAAAGTTGTTGAAGGCCTAACCCCCAGTACCTGTGAGTGTGACCTCATTTAGAAATAGAGACCTTGCAAATGATCAAATTAAGATGAGGTCATTAGGATGAACTCTAATCCAATATGATCAATTTCAACACAGAGAAGCTCACAGAGGGAGGATGTGAAGACACAGGGGAAAGCTCATACAAGCCAAGGAGGCCTAGAAAGTAGGAGAGAAACCTGGAGCAGATTCTCCACCGCATTCCTCAGAAGGAACCAACCT